AAAAAAAATTTAAAATTATATCATTTTAATAAAATATTATAAAAAATTTAAAGCATTTTCATTTTTATTTTAAAAATAATTAAAATATTTTAATATTTTTTAATAAAAAATTATTAAAATAATATAATTTTAAAATATTTTTTATTTAATTTTTTAAAGAGAGATTGATACTCACTTTTTTGTAAAATTATAGATACCCATAACTTCATCTTAAAATGTTGAGCAGCTTAAAATGTTTATAATTAATTTTTTTAAGACATTTTAAATTTTGTTAAAAAAATATTTTTCAATATTTAAAAAGTTTATATGTAAGTTTTAGAAAAGAAGAATTTAATTTAAAGCTTTTTGTAGAATTCATTAGGAACTTTAAGAACGTTAAAAAGTTAATTTTCTTTCTAACAAAATTTAAAATTTATGGAAGAAAAAAAAAAGCCTCCATCGAAAGCTCCCTAAATTCCAACTGTTGTAGTTTGAAATTTGAAGAAGATTTTGTGAAGGTGGTATGAACACACACACGGAACTATAGCTGGTGGGAAATTGGAAGACTGACAATTGCAATTTTGCCATGGGGTCCAAGTCCAAGGCAATTATCATTATCAGAAGCAAATTAAGAGATTGAGTGGTGTCAACCGTATAAATGATTTGGTAGTTATTTTTTTTATTAAAAATAAAAAATTTTAAATTTAAATTACGTGAATGAAATAAAATAAAAAATAAAAAATAATTATCACTCATTATATATATATATATATATAGAGGTTACGTGGTTAAGGATTCCACGACGAAGCTATAAATATGAAAAGTTTAGGGTATTTTCAATAGATCTGCCTCTCATCAAATCAAAGAACTTTTTACACTTTTCACAACATATTTTAGACTTCGTTGGCAAAGGGCCCACTTTGTTTTTAATTAGCTCTCAATTCCCCTTATAATAACTCTAGTTTGTCTTTAAGGGCAAAAGGTATCCGTTTCCCCTTTAATTTTTCAAATTTGAAGGTTTTTACCTTCAATATTATAATACATGAATTTTTACCTTTTATATTTTTGAGTTTGAGGAAATGATGTAAAATTTAACGTCGAAGCATTATGTGTAGCACGTGCACCGTTGGTCCCCATCAAGTATGCACATGTCAGCGCAACCTCAGACTTTTTTTGACAACTTGGCATGCCAACTTAGACCCCATGAGCGGAAAGTCTACCTGCTATCAATTTTATTTATGGGCCCCACCGCTGACTAAAGGTTTGAAAAAAAAAAAAAGACAGATGATGCAAAGAAATCTATTTAAATGATACCGCTTACTTCTTTTCCCTTTCTTCTCCCTACTCCTGACCTCCCTTATCGACGACCCTCTGTTTTGATCAGAAGCCCTCAGGCTTCCGCATTTTGATGCTTGAGCCATCGGGCCCCCCGGCTGCTCAAGCATGGTGGAGCCCTTGTACTCCTTGCTTTGATGGCCCTCGAGGCCTGTCGATTTTGTTGGCCCCTCTGGTGGCTTTTGCTTTTTCAGTTTCTTTTTCTGTTTTTGGGTGGGTTTGCTTGGTTGTTTGTTGTTTCTTGGTTGTTTTGTTGTTTCTTGGTTGTGTTTGTATAGATCCGGCGGCCTTCCCCTCTTCCGGCTGATCTGTGGCAGCGCTCGCAGGAGGTCCAGATCTGGCGTCCATCGCGGTCGGCTGCTGCTTTCGGATGATTGCCGCCGCCGCTCGGTTTCCCGCCCCGGCATCCTAGAGCTTGGCGCAACTTCTCCAAGGGTAGATTGAAAGGTGTCCCATTTGGATAGCTCGACCAAAGGCCGTGGTCTCACTGAGTCCTTAGTGGTTGTTCGAGTGTCAAGTGCACCTCCCTTCGACCTCTGTGTATGGGTCTATTCTGATCCTTTCGTTCCATATGTAATTTTATTGTTTATTATCTTTGTAGATGCCGTTTCGCGGTCTTTGTAATGCAACAATCTCGTTATTTCTCAAAAAAATCTATTTAAATGATCACTAGAAATCTATAAATAGATTATCCATGTCCAAATCCGAA